TTTGCCATATAAAAATATTATCACTATTTTTTTTTCAATACAAAAATGGGCAAAACAATGTTGCAAGAAGATGACTGGTTTATTTGCGAACGATTTGTGTCTTTTATAGAGGTTTTTTATGATTCTACTATTTTATTATCTTGTATTTATTATCCTACTTCTCCATTAGTGTTGCCTCAAATTTGTGAGATTACAGACTTATTTGAAACGTATAGAAATGATATGTTATTTAAATCGATAGTAGAAAAAATGGATGCAAAGTTTAGGAAATATTGGTCTGAAATTCCTCTGTTGTATTGTTTAGCTATTATTTTAGATCATAAAGTAAAATTATGCAGTCTTGAAAATGTTCTTTCTCATATCGGTGGCCAGTTGGACATAGATTATACTTCACAGGTTGTTAACACACGTGAGAAGTTGTTTGAGATTTATGCAATTTACGAGAACAAGTTCGGTAACTTGACAACTCAACAAACGTAACAAGATCAGCCGGCCCGCTCAAAAAAGAAGTTTTAGAATTTTATATATTCTCATCGTGGTGGCTCTAGTTCGTCATCAACTGCGACTCCGAGTGTCATGCCACCACCATCAACACCAACGACGACACAATATAGGGAGCTCAACAGATACCTTGAGACAGAATTCTGGGTGATAGATGGGGCTGATAATGATGACAATTTCCAAATTTTGGCATGGTGGAGGCTACAAGGTGTAAGATTTCCAATACTTTCAATAGTAGCATGTGATATCTTGACTATTCCAGTATCAACAGTGTCTTCAGAATCTGCCTTTAGCACAGCTGGGAGGATAATTGAAGAAAGAAGGACTTCGTTGACTCCAGAAATGGTTGAGGGGCTAATATGTCTAAAAGATTGGGAAAATGCTTCTTTACGAATGCAACACATAGCCGACAACAGCAATTTAATGGATCAATTTTAAAACTTATACATTGATGATGACGCTTCTGATGCTGGGAGTAGTGTAGCAGGCAGTTAGATATTTTTGTTTCTTAAGTATATATAAATTGTAACTGTGAAAATAATACTGCACTCTTTTTTCCTTATCAAGGTTTTATCCCAATGGATTTTTCTTGGTAAGGTTTTTAATGAGGCAGTTATAATTACATAAATAAAGTCTTATTCCATTAAAATTTTACAATATTCACTATTTATTATAAATTTCATTTTTTTTATTTTTATAAATCATGTTCGGGCCGGACCGAGCCGATGCGGGCCGGCCCAGCCCGCATTAACCCGGGCCGGGCTGGGCTTATATAAAATTATTTAGGGTCGGCCCGGCCCGAACTACACTTTCTGAAATTTTCAGCTCTATTCACCACCACCTCACCGTTATCTCCATCACCCACTCTCACTTTACTCTTCCCGGTACCACCATCACCACCATGAACTTTCATCACCAACACTTCATTGTCACCCTCTTCACCCACCATCATCTCCATCAAACAACCACCGTGACTCACACCTTCCAACCACCACGACAACCATCCACACTAGAACCACCACCATTAACAAACCCACTACCAATCAAACTACCACCACCTTCAAACATAACCAGATCCAGAATCACCACCACCACCACCAGAGTTCATCGACCAACCCAGACCACCTAGACTACCGACACAATCCAAACCAACAACATAGCCATCTCTGGAGCAAAATTGAAGATCATCGACACCAACAACGGGGCCGTGAACAAGACCAACCGCAATCGGACTGGAATGATGATATTCGTCAAGCTCTTCTCCATGCCATCCAACAAATTGATGAGCTTCGCGAATATCTCCGTCGCGATATCTGGCGACGGCAGCGTTTGCACCACCTCTAAACCTCCGAGAAGCGGCGGCGAGTTCGTCCCTATTCTCTCCGTTCCACCTATTGAACTAATTCCACCAATCACTGCTCAAGACGGCGGTTGCGTCGCTGGCGGAGACGGAGCCAAACTTGGCGGCAATCGTGGAGAAGAGACCTACCCTGGTGATGCCCATGGTTGTTCGACTCCGTCTTTTCCCTCAGTATGTGCAAAACAAACTCAGATTTTTTAGACGGAGTTGACTACAAATGTCGATGACCTGAAGCAAATTAGCCCAACATGGACAATTGGAGAAGATTTTCACCGGAGCAGTTGCACCCAGATCCAAGGCGACGGCGTCCTGCAGAACAATGTGTTAGCCGAAATAGTATGGATAATACAAAAGAGGAACAAGTTAAGGAAGAACAAAACCGAAATTCATACAATTGTAATTCAACCTTTTTTACCAAAAACTCAGAAATGAAAATTGCAAGAATGTCGAGGCACGTGGAGCACGTTTTCCTTAAAACAGATTTGTCCCCTCCGGCGTGTGCTTGAGGTTACGTTGGATGTCCATCTCCCAGGATACAACGACAACGACGGTAGCTCGATGTACTTTCGAAACCGTCCGGCGAACTAGAACTTGATCTTTCCTCTATCATCAAAACCGAACTACAAGAACACAAAGCACAAAAAACACGGGGACAGAAACAGAAGCGAGAGAAGAGAAGAAGAGTTCCGAAAAATGAGTGCTTTGTTCATGTGGAGGATGGCCCTTATATAGCATGCCCATGAGGGATGTTACAAGGCTGTAATGAAGGTGAATAAAACCAATTTATTCATGGTTTGATGGTGCTTGAATTCTGTGGTTACAGCCCCTGGAATTCCCGAATGAATCTGGTCCAAAAAGAAGTCTACAACCAGAGGTTTAAGGTCCATAAACCAATGGTTATTGCTGCAGTTTCTACATCCTTCACTAATGCAAATTTTAAACAGCCACTAATGAATCAGTTTCGGAATTTTGTTGGCAAAATAAAAGAAAAAATTAGCTCGCACGAAGCGAGTTTTCTGATCCGCCATTTGTATTCGCAAGTCACGAGCGCACACATTAGCCCCAAACCTGCCGGGATCGTGATTCGCACCCCCGCTGCACGTGAGAGAGCATCTCTAATATACATGCTTACCTAGGCTTCAAAGTGCAATCACTTATAAACACCACATTGACTTCACTTCTAGCCAATGTGGGATTTTTGCAATTTTTCTTCTTCATTTACCATTTCAAGTACCATACTTAGACCATCAATTTCTCATTCACCCAAAAACCATTTTGAGTGTATGAATACTCGATTTCGATCTCCTCACGACGGAAAATACAAATCCATCGAGACCCATCCCAAAAACCTATTAGGCCCCATCCGAATATGGGCCTCAGCTTCAGCCATGTTCGAAGTTTGTTTCTTCTCCAGAAGATGCAAATGACGTTCAAGGGCTCCACAAATCTGACTTAGCCCAAGAATTAATTGGCACACATCAGATTAATGAGCCCAGCACACCTAAATGAGATTATTGAGCACAAAATTTTATTTGTTGCAAATCAGACCCTCAATCCCAGCAAGCAAATTTTCCCGGATTTGTTTCACATCCCCAAGCAATTCGGCTAAAATTTTCATCAGAATTCCAGGCCCATACTTAGGCCCTTTAATTCGTTGATTCGAGTTTTTAATTTGAGTTGAAATATAATTTTATGTAAAAAAAATTTATTATAGTAAAAAAGTTAAATATGATTATTTCTGAGAATTTTTTACTGTAACAAAACTCAAATCAGTGAAATGAATGAGGCTTTAAAAATAAACCCACTACTCTCTCCAACATAAGTTTTTTTTTTTTTATAAACGAGACAGATTTGAATATTAGTAGTTGTTTTTTTATATTTTATTGTCTTTTGCTTTAGCTTTCTAATTTTGCTTTAGTTTATTATTATTATTATATTGTTTATCTTAGTTTCTTAATTGTTATTTTGTTATCGTTTTTAAGGTGAGTTATAAATACCCACTTAACTATTGTATTAAAAAGACTTTGAATATGGTAATAATTAAATTAGAATTGAATTTTCTCTCCAATTTGGGGTTTTTCTTTTGAGGTTTCTTTTAGGTGGATTCGAGAATTCTTCATCCGGATTATGCCGGTAAAATCTCATTCTATTACGTCATCTGTTGTCGTTTCTAATGAATGAACGACATCCATTTTTTGCCAAAAAATTTGTTGTCGTTTGGAAATAAAGTGATATGATGCCTTGCGATTTTGGAATTTGCTGCCTTTATATTAAAATGGCCGTTTCTTAGTACCTGTTATAGTTTGGCACAATAAACGACATATAGTTGGTGTACAAGTTTTTCTGTCTTTTAAGCCAAAACACGAAATGTCGTTTCCACGTCCAAATTTTATGTTGTTCCACAAAATTACGTCCTTCGCCAGTCAAAAGCAGGTCTCCCGTAGCTTGGAAATAATGAAATTAATAACTTAATATGTTGGTGTACCATTCGAATTCATACCTTCTTATGGAAACAGCATGTCGTTTTCGCAAAACTAAAAAGGTCCTTTTATGAGTTTTATTAAAAACATTGTCATTTACGCATACACAAACGACAAATTATCTTCATGTAAATTTGAGTCTTTTAACTGTCCTTAACCAAGAAAAGCAGCACATCGTTTTCCCTGCAGCTTCTAATGTCTTTGGTCACAATTTAGCTATCGTTTGCGCGTAAACTACGTGTCATTTGTTCATAAAAAGTTAACTGTCGTTTACATCTAAACTACATGCCCTACCACTTAAAATTTTGTAGTCCTGATTCAGAAAGTCTGACTCTGGTGCGGCTGTTTATCGATTAATGATCATGTACTAAAAATGTGGAAATTACTGAACTAAAGTACTATCATGGATGCCAATCAATCTTTTATGGATCTCGTTTTGGTGCTTGCTGTGTATAATTGCATTTTGCACGTTTCCATATTATAATTTAGGTATAGATATTACCAAAACAGATAGATTGAGTTTTTTTTTTTTTTTTTTTCTAAGAGCCAAATTAAATAGCTAATAGAATAATGTCAAAAACCTCCAAGACTCTTTCCAAAAATAACACGTGATTGCCTTTTTTGGCCAAGTCTTTATGCATTTGCTGACAAGTATAGGCTCAAGAAAAAGATCAAAAACTTTATACCATCAGCTACAAATACACACACAGAGATGTATAGTTTGGACTCTGACATTTCCATAAAAAGTGGAAGAGCCGGGTCACTTTGGTAAAACAATGATATTAATCAACATTTTAAGGTGAGAGTGGCCAAGAAATCTATGGTTACAACAATGTGCTAATTTATATTCTTTCGAATATAAAAGCAAGAGAAGAGCACAAGATACCACTATAATTATAGAGGCAAGCTGATCTTATCAGACCATTTGAAAATGTCCGAGTATACTTTATCACCGCCCAAATCCTCACCTTTGGCACCAGCCGCCACTCTTATGATATCCTCAATCAAAGCAAAGTTTCCCATAATGTCAACATGAGCACCGCTTTGGGTACCCCTGCCTTCAAGCAGATGGGATGGAGGGGAGTGATCATACTCCCTTATGTATGTTTTGATTCCTGAAGGGTTGAATCTGGTCTTTCCGCGCCAACCTTTGGCACACATGAAGCCTGCACTCAACACAGGCACGGTCTCGTCGCCATCAACAGTATAGACTCCGTCTTTCAAACAGCTATCTTCGATGTCGCCGTTGGCTGAAGTATTGATTTGAAATGGGATGTAGCATTCAGCAGAAGGAGATGACTCGTAAATGTAGGCTCTTTCAGTTGGTATTCCAACTCCATAGAGGGAGAATATTTCCATATCTGGAGCATTCGGTAATCTGTAAAATGCAAGGACAGATCAAGAGTTATTTTACTTGATTAACTAAGAAATAATAGACCAATTCATTATCTCCCCTTGTTCCTAGATGGCCCATAAATCATGCTTCTATATTTAGGTTACCACATAAAGAAGGGTCTATGAGCCAAATGATTGAGATCGTTACATTTAACAAACGTAGAAAGGAAAATAAAAGGGCTCTCACTTTGTCTCCAACGGGTTTGACCAATATTTGTAGTGACTGTATTTTGGGTCTTCCAAATTGTCAGCAATTCCATAAGAGAAGTGAGCACTACTGCGCGCCATCATTTTCGGGGCAACAAAATAAAGCAGGTCTATAATTGACTCAGCAGTGTAAACTTTATGATCTGCAACAGCTCTGATACCGCCAAGTCCCATGTCATGGTATTCAGTCCACACATCACGGCAGGTAGTATTTGCAACATTACTACCCTTGATAGCACCCTGTATACCAAAAGTCACCAACTCAAAGTAAATGCATATTATTGTTTTCCATAATTAAAAAAATAAATAAAGAAGAATTTCAATCGATCAAACGTCTTACCCGAAAGTCAACCCTCTCGATCTCAGATGAAGGTGCCTCTGCTACATCTTTCCCAAATGATATAATCCTCCCATAGTTAACTATTTCGGATTGAGAAAATTGGGTGTCATTGTTTCTTTGTTTTTCCCTGCTAGGACTGTAGCCTTCCTCGGGGGACCAATCCATGCCACCCCAGATGGTGTCCCCACCTTTTGGTATCATTGACAAGGTTGAATCCCATGTGCGAGTCATCCTCATTACATGTTGTAAAGTTTGAAGGCGGAATCGATCATTATCCAAAAAACCGGGCGCAATAGCCCTGCATTAGAAACCATTAAGAAAGCAAGGTCTCATTCATAATTTCTTTTCAAGATTATTGATACATACTAATCTAGGTGCAATCTACATACATTGAAAAGATTTAAAAGTCAACTAAAAAGCATCTCAACTAGTAATCAGAAAAACACGAAGTGACTAGGACAAACTAGAAACAAACCTGGCTACTGCAATATCCTTGGCTTCGGCAGAGAAAAGTCCGGCCACAGCTTTTGGAACACCCAAAAAGGGTCCACCAATGTTGATCACTGCCTTTATATGCTTTGAACACCAATCTGGTCCTCCCCCACCACCCATTGGAGCTGGTGCCTCAACCCACTTCATAAAGTGCAGGAAATATAAGACGCCCATTGAGTGTGGAAGTATAACCGCCTTTTTGCCGCCATTTGTTGCCACCATCAATTCTATGTTACTCTTTATTCGGCTAAGTGTTTGGTCTCTTACCTAGTTTAATTAGTTAAGAAGAATCCCATCACCAATGCAGTTCATGAAATATAGAAAGAATTTCAACAGAAACATGTGTAAAAGGAAAAACTGAAGACCTCAGTATTCTGAAATGAAAGTCTCCAATCATATGCAGCCATATACATGTTTTTCTCCTCATAACCAACACGAGCCAAGTTGGCAATTAGAACTGCCCACACAAAATACCCCGGAGCAAAGTAGTCAGCCGCAACGAGCCCGGAGACAGGCCTAACCCTCACACCAGGAGGATCTAGTCCAGTTTCATTGTCCAGTGACATATGCTCCACCCAACACGAAGGCCTGTAAAAGGTCCAACAATCAGCAGCCTTCCAAGTATCAATTCACATATACAGTTATATAGCGATTTGGCCTAATTTTCCACGCATGGACTTTTCATGACAAAACCTATTTGAAAATGTTCACTTACATTCTCCTTAAAATTCCTAGAGTTTTGGAACTCTTATGATGTTTACCGAACAATTATTCCTATGTTGAAATTAACCGTGTACATAAATTACTTTAGCTCCAAACAAAGCCAACTACTCATTTTGAAGAAATATGGAATAGAAGAAAATTCTCCTCTAATACATTATTACGTGAAAGGCAAAGGCCTTATATAGAGAAACTTGACAACAAATCTGTCAATGATTCTCCACAATTGTAGAAACTAACAATCCCTTAATTTAAGATATAAATCACATAATTAAAACTAGAGAGATAATAGGAAACAACCTTCCTTATCCCTTTATTTAAACACAACCTAATAGGAAATAAATCCCTAGAAAATAGGAAACAAGAAACGGGAAATTTGTCAACACTCCCCCTCAAGCTGGGTTTCCAAGATTAAACATGCCCAACTTGTCAATCTGTCTTTCGAACATCTTCCTAGCTAGAGCTTTTGTTAGTACATCTGCAACTTGATCACTAGTAGACACATAGGTTATGCACAGTATACCATCCTCAATTTTTTCTTTGATAAAGTATCTATCCACTTCCGCATGTTTTCTCTGATCATGATGGACTGGATTGCAGGAAATACTTATGGCTGCCTTATTATCACAGTCAATCCTTAGATTATCACAGTCAATCTTTAGAGGGAGATTTATTTTCATCTCCAATTCTTCAAGCAATAGTTTCAGCCATAGCATTTCAGAAATACCGTGAGCCTCAGCACTACTCCGGGCCACAACTGTTTGTTTCTTGCTTCGCCAAGTAACCAGATTGCCCCATACAAATGTACAATACCCTGAAGTAGACCTCTTGTCTTCAATAGAACCTACCCAATCTACATCAGTGAATCCCTCGATACTCCTGGACTCATTTCTGCTGAAAAAACAAACCTTTACCAGGCGATCCTTTGAGGTACTTTAGGATTCGGAGTACAGCCTCCATGTGCTCTTCGCAGTTGTGTAGCACATAAAGCTTTCACTAATCTTCTCATCCATGGAGTTGATTAACCAGGCCATTACCATTGAATTCTGAGCATCCCAAGTCTGGAAAGATGAATCTAACTCTTCAGGTTTCTTGGTAACCCCATCAAGATAGCCATACCTGCCTTTCCCTCGAATAACCATCTCCACATATCGCGACCATGGCAGGTAATTTTTTCCGTTGAGTTTATGAGAGGTGATTTGGAGAGAGGAATTATCTTAGTAAGGGACATGAATTGAACCGTCATTGGGGTCGGCTGCAAGGGGACTGAGGTCTCCAAGCCGTCATTCCCTTTGGTGCCGGCCATGGCCGTTCTCCAGGGAAATGTTGGAGGTCTGCCCATCATAAAAACTGGAGAGAGGCGGTGCTGAAATTATACGCGGAAGAGTGTTGCAGCGCTGGACAGCGGTGCTGCAGTTCTGAATCGCTGAGAGCGTAGATGGAGAGGAAAAAAAATATCAGAGAGAGAGGAGAGAGACGAAGGCGCGGTTAACAGAAAGCATCGTCACCAACTCTGATACCATGATAGAGAAACTTGACAACAAATCTGTCAATGATTCTCCACAATTGTAGAAACTAACAATCCCTTAATTTAAGGAATAAATCACAGAACTAAAACTAGAGAGATAATAGGAAACAACCTTCCTTGTCCCTTTATTTAACCACAACCTAATAGGAAACAAATCCCTAGAAAATAGAAAACAAGAAACGGGAAATTTGTCAACACATTTTTTTCCCACCCAACCTACTTCCATACAAGTTATTCAATAAAAAAGCAGTAAAAGATGTTACTTTCAGGGGACATTTTGGATACTTCATAAGTTCTCAAATTTTCCCAATTGAAAGTCAATGACAATATAGCTGTCATGTTGTTTATCTCCTTACCGGGGTATGTAAAACAAAAGGATAGCTCATTATAGTAAATTTCTCAAATTAGTATGACAATAACATGAATTATTCCAGCTAAACACTTAAACAATCAACCCAATTACATTAACCACTATACTTCCAGAAAAGGAACACAAGTTTAAAACTTTTTTTTTGAAGAGGGGGGGGGGGGGGGGGCGGGAGCGGGCGGGCCGGTGGAGGGGGTGAGGCGGGGCGGGGCGGCAAGCTAAATATACCTAACAAGTTTCCAGTTCTAGCAACAAAACGAAATTCAAGATTATTCATTCCTCAAAAGTGTGAGAGAAATTGGCAATACCTTTTATAGACTTCCCCAAAGGTGCCACCCCAGAGGCGCTTGCGGAACAGGCCCTCGGCGCACTGGTGGCCCTCCCACAATTCGAGGCCGCCGGTGACGATCCCCGGCACGAACACGACCGGATGCTCGGCTCTCAACCCTTCCTTCCTCAATTTGAGGCCCGGCGGGTCCGGCAACGGCCCTGTTATCGCCTCCGTGACGAACTGAGGGAACGACGCCGGCATTGCCTTGTACAGAAACAGCAGAAGCCACCAAATTGTGCAAATGCACCCAATCAGCCAACAGCAGCTGTCCACACACGACCACTTCTCCTTCGCTTTCTTGCTACTATTAGCCTTCTCTGTTTTGCCCAACTTCTTCTTCTCCTTCTTGTTCTTGTCATCGTCTTCTTCTACTTCTATTTCTGCTCCCTCTTCTTCCTCTTTGGTGCCAGAACCGGAAGCTTTGTTTCTTCTCCGAAGCAGAGCCATTTTCTCGGATTTTCTCGGGAAAAGTGGAAGGAAATCTCTTATTTTCTTGCTTGCTGGGAAGAATTTTCTTTTCTTTTCCTTACACAAAAGCTTCTAAGGTCTAAAAGAAAAGAAAAGGAAATTCTAGATAAACTTCCACTGTGTGAAACCAAAAAAAAAAAAAAAATGAAGAAGGTTTTTTCGTTATTCGTATTATTCTGATATATTTTTTTAAAAGGATATTATTCTGATATTTTCTCAAACTTTATTTAATTTAACAATATTAATTAATGTCGTCAGACAGAGGCCTATCGGCGTGGACTTCAGGAATGGCCGTTGAATGACATGGGATGGTATTTATGACTTGTGACGTGGCAGGTTGTTATTGGATGGTGGATCAAATTGTTTTTCGTGATCAATTATTTTTGCCAACGCGGCAGGATCCTACTGGTTCGTAGAACAAGATAAAGAGAGATTAAAAACGTGTCAGATACAGGCCATGTGTTTGCTTTTATGAGGCTCACAAGTCGTAGCTCCTTTGTGGCGGGTAGTACTATTTTATTGGCTATTTTCGCAATCAACGGCTGATTTCTTTAATTTGTATTTTCGTTCGTTCGATTCGAAGCTTTTTTTTTTTAATTTCTTATTTAGAATCCATTTGATTCCAAGAGTACGATTTTATTATTGTTGTTTTTTTTTTTTTGGATAAAGACAAAACTTAAAGACTTCTAGAAGCAAAGCAACTATCAGGTTTTCATATTTATGTAAAAAAAACAAAAAAAAAAACACTTTTTTTGGTGGAATATCAGATTTTAATAATTTTATTGGTTTGGACTTTGGAACCAATAATAATGAAAAATAAGTTATAACCCGTCTAATTTTTGTCGGCTGTCCTGAGTTTTTCTGTCTTATGTCTCAAATAATAACATGTATAATGAGTGGTTCAAAAAGAAATAACATATATGGGAATTGTTCTATGCTACAACCTCCTTCACTTGGAAAAAATACTTTGCTCTCTTGCTTTCTCAATTTGCCACTTTTTCTTTATTAACAATTTGAAAGTGCTAAATTCAAGGAGTAAAGTTGAAATGTACGAGATAGCCAAATTGGACGTTTTCTAGTTCCTGCTACGACTGTAGAGTGTAGCCCGATCTCTACTTGGGCTCCTGAGTGATGGACCGGTAATTCTCTTTTATAGTTGCAGACTTGTCTGGCCCAACTCAACAATTACGTGAATCCGTTAGGAGAAAATTACATATCCTAATTACATGTTCTATTTAATTACATAGGTTCCGTTTAGTTTGTTGATTTAATATTTTAATTCGAGTTAAAAAATTTTTACTGTAATAAAAAAATTAAATGTGACTATTTCTAAAAGTTTTTTACTGTAACAAAACTCAAATCGGTGAAATAAACGGGCCAAAATTTTTATATGTTACTCTTGATTAATAATATTTTTATTTAACTAAGTACACTAATAAAAAGGTATTAATAAAAAATGAGAGGTAAAAATCCATACTCATATACTCTTAAGAGTAAATTATGCAATTTTCTCAAAAAATAAAAATAAAAAACTAATATTTAGGAGTTAATAATAAGCTGTTATACCATTTTAAAGGATAATTATAGGGTGCGTTCACTTCACTGACTTAAATTTTATGATTCGAGTATCAAAAAATTTGAGTGTAATTTGAAATTTGGAGTTTCCCGTTCACTTCGCTGATTCGAGTTTGTAATTCGAGTTGAGATGTGATTTTGTGTGAGAGCTTTTTACTGTAGTAAAAAAGTTAGATGTGACTATTTCTGAGAGCTTTTTACTGTAACAAAACTCGAATCGGCGAAATAAACGGGTCCATAAAGATTTCTTTATGTTCACTATACGAAAGCTTCATTAGGCCACTACTGGTTGTTGCATTGGCGCATATATAATAACAGAAATCTCTTGTGATTTTTTTTAAGTCGAACGTACGATATGATAACGTGAGATAAGAAGAACAACGTTTTAAAATTGGAATTTACATATATCATTTTTTAAAAAAAAAGGAGACGATTTCAATAAATTTGGCTATATATACCCAAGTGATTTGAGATTAAAAGTGATACCCAACCTAATTTACGCAAAAAATCTCATTGATGGATTCACATATAAAACTTCTTGTTCATTTTATTATTACAATATTTTCTCTTATATAAATTCAAATTTAACCTTTTTACTTTAGTATTTTTTTTATCACATACACAACTCAAATCATGATTTGAGTTGTGTAAATGAACACACCTACATGTTAATACTTCTAAGTTAATCTATCATTGTCGGTATATATGTTTTAAAACGTTAAATTCGTTCAAAATTGCATAGAAAATCTAAAATATATGCAGTAAAATTTTTTTTGCCCGTTCAACAGAGCCATACGCTATAGTTTTTTATTGTTATTAGTTTTTGTTTTTACACCGAATAGGCCTGTTTAGTTCGTTGATTCGAGTTATGATGTAATTTTATTTGAGAACTTTTTATTGTAGCAAAAAGGTAAAATGTGATTATTTTTGAGAATTTTTTATTGTAACAAAACTCAAATTCTACATTCAAATCGGTAAAATGAACGGGACCATTAGACTCAAATTTGCACGCAAAAGTTTCAACCGTGAAAAAGTCAAACTAATGTTTGTTTTTTGTATTCGTCTCTGATTCTGAATCATGATTAATGATTCTCTACAGTATTTTTTTCTCATAAAAAATATACATAAAATAAAAATAATTTTGAGTCATAATTTTAAACTCATGAACTAAACGTCTACTTATCGGCAAACCAAACATGATTTTGTACAAAAAGAATATGGGACAGTATGTGCGTACATGATTTTGTACATATTGTGGGGCCAAAAGAAAAGTAATAGCAATAATTGTAGAGTCTACACAATTCGTTGTGGATAGATGTAAAGTGCCAGTTATTCAAAAGCCAAAAGTGCATTCTATGTTGTGCTTTTATTTTGATAGGGTTAGAAGTGACTCGGAACTATGTATTTGGAAACTTTTTGCATTTGGATGATCTCAATCATTAAAAAATAAATAAAAATGATGGTCTCAAACACTATAGGCAAAGCATGTTATCTCTATCAAAGTTTACATTAAAAAATAAACAAAGATAAAACACAAAAAGCAACAAAAAAAAATAAAAAAAACAAAAAATATATATATATATATATACACACACACACACACACACTTTAGTGGGATACTTTGAGGCTGCTTAATGGAAGTGCCAAATTCCTATGCTTGGTTTGGCCAAGGATAAAGAAAGCTACACCAATATCATAGGCTTAGTTGGAGAACTACTTTGCCTTCGTTGTTCTCTCTCTCTCTCTCTCTCTCTCTCTCTCTCTCTCTCTCTCTCTCTCTCTCTCTCTCTCTCTCTCTCTCTCTCTCTCTGTTTAAGGGAAAACTCTGTACTTGCACTTGGCAATGGAAAAAATAATTGGCGGTTGTCACCTCAAAAAAGCATAACAATAATTATATGGATTCTTTTATGCTTCTAAGGAATATTTCTCATACTGTGTTAGAAAATATAATAATTTATAAAATTTTACATTAAAATTTATAAATTTAAACGAAATCGTAAAATTACGATAATTTATGAAATTTAAATTTTATAATAATTTACATTAGAACTTATAAATTTAAACGATTCATCGTAAAATTTAAAATTTTACAAATTATCATTCAAGTTTATAATTTTATCGTTTGAGTTTATAAATTCTAACGTAAAATTTCATAAATTATCATATCTCCTGATACAGTACTAGAAAAAAGTACCCTAACAGTATAAAAAAACCCTATACTATACCATTGTAATCTCAAAGAGGATATTATTTAACATTTTAAAACCACATGCACAATTTCGTATAATTACATAACTAAATTCTCTAACCTCTACTCAAGTAGAGGCGCGCGCGCCACCATCATCCGGAGTTGTGCGGACTTGTGTTTTTCCGTTGCCAAATATCATTTTTCAATCTCAAAACATGTTACATTGAAATAGACAAAACCGATCAATGGTTACATTAAAATAGACAAAGAGATGTTACATAAAAAAAAAAAAAAATCAAAAAGTTTTTTTTTTCTTCTTTTAAAAGCATGGTTAATTAAAAATTAATGTAGTTTGGAGAAGAAAGCACAACTTAGCGGCTAATTCATTTAAAGCAACAAACAAGACTTGGATATATGTTATTTAATTTGTCATTTTATGCTCAAAAAAGGGATTAGGGGTACAAAAAAAAAAGGTTTTTTTAAAATGTTAATGTATCATTTTAATATTATAAAAAAATATAAAATATTACGAATGTATTTTGTTAATACGTTTGCTATAACACAAACGGTACAAACATGATTTTTCTCCGAAAACAAAGGATGTTCATGTACCATCTCTATCTCGGAGAAAACAAAGGATGTTCATGTACCATTTCTATCTCTCCCTTTTTTTCGAAGTTAGAATCTTCCATTTTTCTTTCCTTTCTCGGCCAAAATACTTTTTATTTCTTCGATTTGTGAACAATGTATTGCTTCATTTTTATTCCATAATACTTGTTCCCGCTTGTTTCTGTTATTTTTTCCCTTTAATCGTGGTATATATATATATATATACGGTCGTGGTTGTTTTCTGAAGGGTCTTCATCTTGGTATGTATTAAGCTGTACGTCGTTTATTATGCGATGTTTGTTTCCAAATTATTGTCGCTTTAATATGTTACATTTTTCAATTTTACGTCGTTTTTAATTACATTTGGATCATTTTTATTCATTTATCCAAGTTGTTGTCGTTTTGAATTGTCTTCAACTTTCCCTTTTAGTTTGTTCTTTGTTGTGTCTATATAATGTAATCTCGAAACTGTTGTCGTTCTTGTTTTTAAGTTTATGTGATATGATTTCTTAAATCTTGTCATTTTCCGTGTTTGTCTTTTTTTGGTTTCCCAGAACCATGACGCTTTTATACTGTCATTTCATGTCTTTTATTTTATTCTGTCGTTTTTCCATGTTAGTGTCGCTGTTATCCTTTTATACGTTTTGAGGATAACTTCTGAATTCTCATTGTTTTCTAAATTTTGTTTTCCTATCTGAAATTGTTGTCGGTCCTTTATTTTTACGCTGTTTTAAAATTGATGTATAATTTTA